GTTGGATCTACACTCTCTCCTTCTTCTTGCTTTGACAATTTGGCTCCACATTCCATTGGCGTGCTTACTGGATTCGAGTCATCCATCTTGAACTTCTTAAGAACCTCTTTAGCATAGCCTTCTTGAGTAATGAAAATTCCATTATCTTCTTGTCTCACTTCAATTCCAAGGTAGTAAGACATCAATGCAATATCGGTCATCTCGAACTCCTTCGTCATCTCCATCTTGAATTCCTCGAACATATTTGGATTGTTGCCTGTGAATATCAAGTCATCTACATACAAGCATGCAATCAATATATCATTGTTTTGAGTTGAATATCAAGTCATCTACATACAAGCATGCAATCAATATATCATTGTTTTGAGTTTTGATATAGAGTGCATGCTCATATGGACACTTGATGAAACTTTTCTCCTTGAAGTACTTATCAATTCGAGTATTCCAAGCTCTTGGTGCTTGTTTTAATTGATGAAACTTTTCTCCTTGAAGTACTTATCAATTCGAGTATTCCAAGCTCTTGGTGCTTGTTTTAACGCATAAAGCACCTTCTTTAACCTCAAGACTTTGTCTTCTTCTCCCTTGATTATGTAGTCTTGTGGTTGCTCAATGTAAACTTCTTCTTCAAGATCTCCATTTAAGAAGGCTGATTTGATATCCATTTGATGTATCCTCCAATTATTTTGAGCTGCCAATGAAATGATTAATCTAACAGTTTCTAGACGAGCAACATGAGTGAATACCTCGTCATAGTCGATTCTCGCTCTTTGACTATAACATTTTGCCACCAATCTTGCCTTGTATCTTTTAACTTCTCCTTTAGAGTTCTTCTTTGCTTTGTACACCCACTTCACACCGATCGCCTTATGCCCATTTGGAAGTGAAGCTAACTCTCATGTCTCATTCTTTTGCATCGCCTTGATCTCTTCATCCATTGCATTTCTCCATGTCTTCTTCTTCATAACTTCTTCGAAATTCATGGGCTTGCAATCCGCAAATAGACAAAATAAAGTAAGATTGTCTTAATTTTCAGTTACCTCGTAAAGTTCTTGCAGACTTCTGAAACGTGGAGTCCTTTCGCTCGAACTTTCATCTTCTTGAGAACTTGTTGTTGGTGAAGTTGGTGGGGTAACAGGCTCCTCTCTTGGTTGCTCCAATTCATCTTCTTCAACATGTGGAAAGAAGTTTTAGTCTTCATCATTTGATCTCCACTCCCATTCTCCTTCTTCATCAAAGATGACATTTTGACTGATGATTGTCTTCTTTGTATCATGATTGTAGAGCTTGTAGTATTTGGAGTTGGCATCGTAACCAATGAAGATGTACTTCTCACTTTTGTCATCTAGTTTGCTCCGCTTCTCGTCCGGTACATGAGCGTGATCAAGGCTTCCAAAGACTCTTAGATGAGAAACACCGGGCTTCCTTCCGCTCCAAGCTTCTTGTGGTGTTTTTCCCGAAACACTTCTTGTTGGAGATCGATTTGATAGATAAACCACGCATGCAACTGCTTCTGCCCACAACTCTTTTGGTAGTTTCTTACTTTTGAACATGCTCCTCGCCATTCCAAGGATTGTCCGGTTCTTCCTTTCCGCAACTCCATTTTGTTGAGGGGACCTCGGCACCGTCAATTGTCTTCGAATACCGTTATCTTCACAATACTTCTCAAATTCCTTGGATGTGAATTCTCCTCCACGGTCGGATCTCATGGCTTTGATCACAAGGCCACTTTCCTTCTCGACATGGGCTTTGAACTTTTTGAAGTTTTCAAACACTTCTGATTTTTCCTTCAAAAAATAAACCCATGTTTTTCTTGAAAAATCATCAATAAAGAGAAGAAAGTAGTTATTTTTACCGAGTGATCTTGGTTTGATCGGGCCACATACATCTGTATGTATGAGTTCCAATGGCTTCCGCGCTCTTGTGTCTGACTCCTTTGGAAAGCTCATTTTGAATTGCTTTCCAAGTAGACACCCTTCACACACTTGATTTGGATGGTTGATGCAAGGCAATTCTCTCACCATCTCCTTTTTAGAAAGTAGCTCTAATCCTCCAAAGTTGAGATGCCCGAATCGAAAATGCCAAAGCCAGGACTCCTCCTTGTAGCACATCTTGAGACATTGTGCGATGTCATTTTGAATGTTAAGAACAAACATTCTATTCTTTGACATCGGCACCTTGGTAATGAGATTGTTTTCTTGGTCTCTTATAGAAAGGTTATTATCCTTTAATCGAATATCATAACCTTTCTCTAAGAGTTGTCCAAGGCTTAATATATTGGTCTTCATGCTTGGGATATAGTAAACGTTGGAAATAAATTGATGATCTCCATTCTTCAATCGATCGGATGAGAATATTTCCTTTACCTTTCACCTCCATCTTCGATTCATCTCCCAAATCCACATTTCCTTTCACCGATTCATCAAGCTCCACGAACATGAGACTTTTCCCGCACATGTGATTGCTTGCACCGCTATCGAGGTACCACTTGTGAACCTCATCTTGTTCATCTTTCTTGTAAGCCATCAATAGCATATCATCTTCTTGGTTTCTTTCTTCAACATAATTGGACTTCTCTTCAACTCTATTATTGTTCGGAGCTTTGCATTCGGAAGCATAGTGTCCAAACTTTCCACAATTATAGCATTTAACGCTTGACTTATCGTACCTTGGTTTTTGATTTCCTCTCCCACGATCTCTTGATGAGCTTTCTCCTCTTTGGTTGGTGTTGTCATCATGAGGCCTCCAACCTCGTCCATTTCCATATCCACGACCTCGTCCTCGGACTTGACCGCCACCTCTTCTTTGATAACTTCGTCCGCTTTCTTCTTTAGTTTGATCAATCCGCATCTTGAGTACTTGTTCTGCAATATCATCCTTCTTCTTCTTCTTTTCTTCATAAGCTTGTAACGACCCAAGAAGTTGCTCCATCGTCATAGCCTCCTAATCCTTTGTTTCTTCATTGACAGTGACAATATGCTCGAATTTTGGATCCAACGATCTAAGAACCTTCTCCATGATTCTCACCTCATCTAACTTCTCGCCATTTCTCTTTAGGTTATTAGTAACCGTTAAAACTCTTGAGAAGTAATCGGAGACGAGTTCACCTTCCTTCATTTGCAACGCTTCAAATTCTTCTCTTAGAGTTTGCAGACGTACCTTCTTGACTTGATCTGCTCCCTTGTAAGAAGTTCGAAGCTTCTCCCATGCTTCTTTGGCCGTCTTTGCTCCCGCGACCTTCTCGAATGCATCTTCATCTAGACCTTGATAGATTAGACAGAGAGCCTTCTTGTCTCTCTTCCTTGAGTCTCTTAAACTATCCTTTTGAGTTTGAGATAGACTACCATCATTCTCTGGTTCAATGAAGCCTTTCTCGACTATCTCCCACACGTCATGTGCTCCTAGGATAGCCGTCATTCTTAGACTCCAATTGTCGTAGTTGCTCTTTGTGAGCATCGGGACTTGAAAGGGAACACCGTTACTCGCCATCTTCAAGGGAATCTTCTAGCTCTGATACCACTTTGTTGGGAAGAAATATTTGGAGGTGATGGAGAAAGTGTTTAAGAATTCGGGAGACAATAGAAAATTTAGGAAGAAGAAGATTTTTATTTCTTTTGAACACCTTAGAATAACTTGGAACTTCTTGATTACAAATGAGAGGGAAGGGGAGATATTTATAGCCTCCAAAGTACAAAATATCTAGAATATTTTAATCCTAAATCTAGAGCGTTCTAACATAATATCTAGAATTTTATATTATAATTATCTAGAGAAATATCTAGATATTCATTCTCTATAACTTTCTAGAACATTTTAAGGAGGTGGAGATGTTTAGATATTTCTAGGGAAAACTCTAGAACTTGGATCAAGTATTGGGTTTTGGCCCAACAAGTGATAATTGGATCATTGATCCAATAGTATTGGGTTTTGGCCCAACAAGTGATAATTGGATCATTGATCCAATAATTAAACTTGATCCAAAATCAAGTTTACTTAGTGATAATTGGATCATTGATCCAATAATTAAACTTGATCCAAAATCAAGTTTACTTTTCAACACCCCCCATGTGCCTTGCATATGCATGAAAATGATAATATATATTTTTCCCTTTGCCATGCACACTGGAAGAGGTTACTTACGGTCAGGATTAATCAGATGTCAAAAAAATATGCAGTAAGACCATCTCTAACCCATTGCATCAAAATAGTGCAAATTTTACATCAAAATAACGCAAAAGTCACATCAAACAGTAATACATCTCCAATCCATTGCACCATTTTTTGCACTAAAAAGAATATTCTCAGTTTATTCTCTTTTATCTACTTTTATATTAATTAAGAGGTAAAAAATAAATATTTAAAAAATTTTAAAACAATGCACAGTAATAACACGGATGAACAGTGCGACTCCATATTTAGCGTCGTACTGTTCATCTCCTCCAAAGTGCCGCAAAAAATATGACACGGTTGGAGCTCGATCAGTTCAACGCAGCGGCATTTTGCCGTTGAGTTGGAGATGCCCTAAGAGGGGCGGCGGTTTTTCATTTTTCAATTTTTTTTTTTTGGGTGCGGTGGGCTTGGTGGGTTGCGCTGGCAGTTGGTGTTAAAAAAAAAGCTATTAGTAGGTTTCTGACACCTACGGTAGCATTCAGATCTACATAAATTTCCAAGCGATCTGTAAACAAAACTGAACTTCGTTTAGTTTGTAAGAGACACTTGAAGTAACAATATACCAAAAATGAATTTCAATTAGGCACCCCTATCACAATGAAAACGGTTTTTAAAAGGGATATACGTAACAACATTATCATTGAAACGTACGAATAATTATGGAGTCTGTTTAAATGTTTTTTACTCATGGATTACTCATATAGTAGATCGTGTAAATACATGAACTTCACGATCACCGATTCACCGGGATGCATGCTTGAATTTAATCCATCTTTTTTGTTTTATTTCTTCAAAATGTTTTGTACTAAACAAGGACTTGTGTATGATGAAAATCATAGAATAGTAGAGTAACCTGAGAAAGACAAATATTCATATAAATCAAATATTTACGGGCTACTTAAGTAGCAAATTTATTAATTAATTAATAGCTCAGGGTTATTGTGCACACATGGTTGCTCACAGGCTCCTCGTGGGATTGGTCGGCCAATAACCGACCTGTCCAGTGTGCCCACCTTTTAACCGGATCAGGTGCTCCTCCTTTCTGCCTCCCTTTCTCGGTCCCTCTCTTTCCATTCTCAGTACACTGTAGCTCCTAAAATACTCCAGACCCGCAACACAATCAGCTTATACTCACCGCGAGTGCTTTGAGTCGAGCTGTGTCAAAAGGGGTCGCGCGCCTTTCATTGGCAGGCAGGGACCACAGATGGAGATAACGAATTCGGGTCTACATACAGCTTGGGCTGAAACCCGATAATGGGGCCGGCCATGCTGAGGCGGAGCTACGTGGATGCTGACGTGTATAAGAGCATACTATTTCGTGTAGCGCCCTAATTCTCGGACTGTCGTGGGTTTTATATTAGTGCATGCTTTTACTTCCACTCGTAGTTTAGTGTTGAACTACTACCTCCATATCCAACAATAAACTAGTGTTGTATCCTCTATTTGGCCTAAGAAAAACTGCATCAGAACTGGCATAGTTTTTGACAATTAAAAGCAAACCCAAAACTTGGCCAAGTTCAGTCACTGACTCAGTTTTTTAGGAGTTTGTCAAACACAGCCTTAGGTACATAAACAAACCCAGGCATATTCGGGGCCGAACGACTAGCTAGGCACAGAAACTCAAGACCGCTCGATCATATCGTTACATTTGAGCACATAGCTACAGAACATTGAGAACTAGCCCTCTAGTCGCGATGACCAAGTGACCATGGTATTCTACATCCATTCCTTAAGATTAGTCACTGGCCATTGCCTCTACAAAGCCCAATCCAAATGTTGTACATTGGGATGTTCAGAACTTGCAACAAAATTGAGATTTACCATCAACTGAATCCAATTATATGACAATGAATAACGATAGTAGCTCTTTCGCGGAACCTAGCCTAGGTGAATAGAGTAATGGGTTTTAAAAGGGAGAAATATGATCAGTATCTAAAGCTTAATTTCACAGACGCACAAATTCCGTTGGAGGAGAAGCTGCGTGCATATATATTTCTTCTTTCTCCTCATTCTATGATGGGTGATTACGTTCTTTATAACGGACGAACCCGAGCTATGAGAAAAGATGGAACCACTAATTGGTTCAATTTTAAAATTTTCTAAAATGACTTTTAGAAGTTTGAGGCTTGATATGAATTCGTTGAAAGATCGCATGGATTCAATTGATAATCTATACAGAAATAAAATAAAAGAAATCTAAATTTGTGTAGATAATTGAATGAGCATGAATTCTTTAGTCCTCATGTATATATGTAGAATTTAGAGGATATATAAAGGCTAAATTAAAGAGAAATATAGGCTAGGAGGAAAACATATAATATTTAATTGATGAATATATATTTTTTTATATCTCAAATGACTACATAACATGGCTTTATATAGCATTAGGACACATCTAATACATTAATGACATTAATTCTCATTTTCATAACCCCCATGCAAATACATGCAATTTATTCTCCATAACTCCCTCATATTTGTAGCTCCTATAATAATTCTTCATATTTGTAACTCCTATAATCATTACTAATATCTTAAGAACCACAATCAAGTTTAATTTCTAACACCCTCCCTTAAAGTTGATTCTCCAAAAAGTATAACACCAAGTTGTCTTCTTAGCTTCTGAAAAATTTGAGTCCTGAGGGGCTTTGTGAAAATATCCACAACTTGTTCTTCCGTTCTCTTGTGTATGAGTTGAACCCCTGTCTCCTCTAGCAGTCCTTGATAAAATGGAACCTTGTGTTAATATGCTTGCTTCGATCAAGGAACACTGCATGGCTTTTTGGCTAGTTGGATGGCCGACTAGCTATCAACATTGATCTCCGTTGCTTCTTTTTGTGGCACTTTCCATCTCCCGCAATAGTTTTGAAAGCCAAATTGCATGACATACACATGATGAGGCCGTAACATATTCAGCTTCACATGTAGAGAGGTTTAACAATGAGTTTCTTCTGCAAGGACTAAGTACAACCTGAATCTTCAAGATAAAAAACAAATCTAGAAGTGCTTTTGCAACCATCTAAATCTTCGATCCAATCACTATCACTATAGCCGACAAGCTTCAAGTCTTCAAATGAGGGATAAAATAATCCATAATTAATGGTTCTATTTACATACCAGAGAATTTCTTCTGTGTCCTTCAATTGTAACATCATTAGTTCCTCCATGAAATGACTAACTAATCCAACTCCATATGAAATTGTCATGTCGGTCCTCGTACATGTGAGATAGCGGAGACTTTCAATAAGACTTTTGTAATATATTAGATTTATATCATTACCTTCACCTTTCTTCTTTAATTTCAACCCTGCTTCAAGTGGTGTATCTACGGGGTCACAAGCTTCCGTGGAAAATTTCTTCATCAGCTCCTTCGCATAATTTGTTTGAGAAATAAAGATGTTGCTCTCATTTTGCTTTACTTTAATACCTAAGAAATATGTCACGATTCCGATGTCGGTCATCTCGAACTCTCTAATCATGGATGACTTGAAATCTATGATCATCGATGTGTTATTACCTGTGAAGATCATGTCATCGACATAAAGACTAACAAATAAAATATCACTATTTTAGTTATTTTTTATGTACAAGGATGGCTCATAAGGATATTTTGAGAAACCTTGTTGTATGAAGTATGTTACAATCCTTGAATTACGCGCCATCGGAGCTTGTTTGAGCCTGTAGATAGGCTTTTTTAATTTGTAGACTTTGTCTTCTTTGCCTTTCTTCCTGTATCTCAATGGTTGCTTAATGTAAACTTCTTCATTAAGGTAGCCATTTAAAAATACTGACTTAATGTCCATTTGAAAAATCCTCCATTGCTTTTGAGATGCAAGCAACATGAGAAGTCATACCGTCTTGAGGCATGCTACCGGAGCAAAAACTTCATCATAGTCAATTCGTTATTGTTGCTTGTAACATTTTGCCACAAGTCGCGTCTTCTATATCTCCATCTCACCTTGTGCATTCTTCTGTCTTGTACCCCCATTTGACTCCAATAGCTTGATGTCCTTTTAGAAGAGAAGCGAGCACCCATGTATCATTTTTCTCGATAGCTTGAATTTCTTCATCCATTGGTCTTCATCATTTTGCTTCTTGTTGTGCTTCTTCAAATGATATTGGATCATAACCTAAAAAAAATAAAGCATATTAAAATCATAATTGTTAAATCCATCAATTCTTCTTGTGACATCATATAATTATTGGATGCTTCTGGTTTTGAGCCTTTTGCAGAGGACTCTGTTTGCGTCAAAATTTGATGTATTCATTACGGTATTCATTACAACTTCAGTCGTTACAATAAAAATAAAAAAAGATAGTCTTTTTATAAGACTCTTACACAATAAAAACAAAAATTACAACTCTCGTCAAAACAAATTTTTATAAGACTCTTACACAATAAAAACAAAAATTACAACTCTCGTCAAAACAAACGCAGGGAGATCGTTTATCGGTCTTCTGCGTCAAAACAAACGCAGGGAGATCGTTTATCGGTCTTCTGCTTGTGCGGGATCTTTACCTGTGCCGGGGATTTTGATATCCGTGGACCACCTTAGATCTGGATCCGGTTGATAAAAAATAGGGTAGAGCTTCGCCTTAACCGATGGAGTATTTGATTGAAGCGCTGAAATCGACCAAGCGAAATCAATAGCTCTTCTCGAGATTAAAACAAAGCCTAATCTTAAGGAACGGACGTACGGGCTTCAGATCCTTCGAATAGCTCCTTCTTTATACTGGAGTTTGTCAGGATCTCGCTAAACCCTCGCTGAGATTCGTGACTCTTGGCTCTGGAATTCGACAGCACCTCCTCCTCCTGATAATAATCTGCCCCCGTGAAATGAGCCCCTAGGCCTGTATTTATAGGCTTCGGTTGGGGGGGTTTTCGGATGAGAACGATGGATTTGGCCTTATCTTCAGTTGATAACGGCCTAACCACGTTTGTAGATGAGATTAAGTCAGTTAGGAACCCTAGAACAGATAAGACGTGTGAAAAACCGCTTTAAAACCGAAAAACGCATCGAGGGGTCGAAACAGCGCGAGGGGACCCGCGCCGGCGCGGGTCGGACTGATCCGACCCACGCCTGCGCGGGTAATCCGGTTTTCTGTGTGTTCTTCTGACTTCCCGACTTTTCGAGACTTGTAGTTTCTTCCGTTTCGTGTATTTGGCTGACTTACACGCTTCGTTTGCAGAACTGACCGTCAAACGCGAGTTAGTTGACGTGCGCGTGTTGATTGATGCGCGTGTGTTGACCGACGCGCGTGAGCTAATTGACAAGCGCGTATTGACCGACGTGCGCGAACTGATTGATATGCGCGAGCTGATTGACAAGCGTGCGCTGACCGATGAGCACGAACTGATTGACGCTCACGTGTTGACTGACACACGCGAACTGATTAACAAGCGTGTGTTGACCGACGCGCACGAACTGATTAACGCGCGCGTGTTGACCGACGTGCGTAAACTAATTGACGCACGCTTGTTGACCGACACGCACGAGTTGATTGACGAGTGCGTATTGACTGACGTGCGTGAACTGATTGATGCGCGCGAGCTGATGACATGCGCGGGCCACTTGGTTCGACATTTCGCTTCATGCGCTTGTCGACGACAGATAATCCTCTTAGACTCGGATAACGATGTTCGTTGTCTTCTCACCGTCTCGAGCTGTGTACGAACACATATAGGCATTTTTAGACGCCTACAAATACCCCCTCCAAAGTATTTCAGACTCATTTCTTTTATAGAAGAGTCTGGAAGGCTTTGGATAAGATAGGCCTTTTCCTCAATTTTGAAGAGAGACATGTAAACTGCTTCAATTCTTGACTTCTTCAGCCTTCAGTCTATTCAGTGTTTTGTCGAATAGATGAAGTTCTTACTGCTTCAATTCTTGACTTCTTCAGCCTTCAGTCTATTCAGTGTTTTGTCGAATAGATGAAGTTCTTTTGGCACTGTGTTTATCGTCTGACCGTTGTCGAAATCTTGAATTGAAGTTGGTGTGTAAGTTTCTGAACTTAGCTCGTGTCATTGAGTTGACTTTGAACTAATCATCTTTGTCAAAAATTCATATTTGAATCCGATTGAACTCCCTGAAATCATTGTTTTCCTTATTTTGGCGAGATTCCTAATGCGTTGACCGGCATCGATCTTTACTTTAACGCGTTGATCGGCGTTAACATAGTTTATACTCGTACGTTTGCTGGAGTCTATACAGTTTAAGCTTTTAAGGTATTAGAGCGTGGCGGTCCCAAATTTTGGGTTGCAGGACCAACTATTAAAGTTGTTTCATCTGCAGATATGAATCTTATTCTGAAGTCGTTGGATGCTCAAGTCATGAGACCAACTAATAAAGTTAATGCGTCAATACCCCGCATTTATAGAATTTTGGCAAATTCTCATCCATCAACAGGTTTGATTAGCCTTTACCGACTACCGTTTGAGTCAGGCTAGCATGCATATTGTTTAAATCCGTTTTGCACGTAACATTGTGCTAAAAGAGTTAACTCTTTTAGTGCTACGATATTGAATACGTAGACTTCGTCTTAACTCTTTTAGTGCTACGATATTGAATACGTAGACTTCGTCTTTCTCCTGTGAAAAGACTAAACAACGATGTGTATCAGACGTAGATGATATTGAATACGTAGACTTCGTCTTTCTCCTGTGAAAAGACTAAACAACGATGTGTATCAGACGTAGATTTAGGATTTTTGGCAAATCCTCAGCCTTCAACGGATTTGACATACCTTTACCGATTACCGTTTGAATCGGGCTTGCATGCAGATTGTTTAAGTCTGTTCCGCATGTGATGTTGTGCTAAGAGAGCTAACTCTCTTAGTGCTATGATATTAAATACGTAGACTTCGTCTTTCTTACGGGAATAGACTATCCGGTAACGCGTGTTAGGCGTTGACTTATCCCTACTTAGGATTCGGGATAAACTTCCTCAGACTGGATTCTGGTATCTTTTTTAATTAGTAAAAGACTAAATCGGCAACACGTGTTAGGCGTTGAATTATCTTTACTTAGGCTTCGGGATAAAATTCCCCGTGCGTGTGAAGCACGGATTTTGACGTTATGAATAACAACCTGCCATAACATCGAATATGTGGGCTTTTATTCTTTTTACGGTTAAGAACTAACCGGCAAAGCGTGTTAGGCATTGACTTATACCTGCTCAGAATTCGGGATAAAATTTCCATGCATAAAAAATATGGATTTTTGTTGCTACGATACTAAATACGTAGATTCGGTCATTTTTATGGGGATGGACCACTCAACAGCGCGGGTTAAGCACTGACTTATCCCTACTTAGGCTTCGAGATAAAATACTCCAGACTGGATTCTGGTGTCTTCTTCAATCGGTGGTAGACTAAACCGGTAACGCGTATTAGGCGTAGGCTTATCTCTGTTTAGGAGTCGAGATAAAGTTCCCCGCACGTGTAAGTCACGGATTTTGGTGTTATTAATAACGACCCGCCACAATGTCGAATATATGAGCTTTTGTCCTTTTTCATGGTCAAAGACTAACCGGCAACGCGTGTTAGGCGCCGACTTATCCCTACTTAGGCTTCGGGATAAAATTCTCCATGCGTGCGGATTTTAAAGTTATAATGTTGAAATATTGTGTCTTCTCTTGGGGCAAAGACGAACCCAAAATGGAAGAGGAAGAAATTTATATTCTATCTCCTAAAACCAAGGAGGAATAATTTTATATTCTATCTTCAGTACAGAGGAAACTAGGAGTGGGACCTCCACTCCGAGAATCGAAAGATTCGGATAATCCTAACTGTCAGAAGATTTTATTATCGAACTAAAGGTGAATTTCTCGTTTATCGAGAGTGAATTGTGGTTTTGGCCTTAACTATAGGAAGGTTTGACCAAGTGGGAGTTTGAGGTGACCCTAACTGTAGAAAGGTTTGATCACTCGATTTGAATAGGAAGGTTTGACCAAGTGGGAGTTTGAGGTGACCCTAACTGTAGAAAGGTTTGATCACTCGATTTGAAAGTGGACCTCTCGTTCATTGGAGTTTGAGGTGACCCTAACTGTAGAAAGGTTTGATCACTCGATTTGAAAGTGGACCTCTCGTTCATTGAAGGAATCGAAAGAGGATTTTGGTTTTGGCCCTAACTATAGGAAGGTTTGACCGAGTGGGAGGTTTGAGACGATCCTAACTGTAAGAATGTTTGATCACTCGATTTGTGGGCCTCTCGTTTATTGGAGGAATCGAGAGGGGATTTTGGTTGTGACCCTAACTGTAGGAAGGTTTGACCGAGTAGACAGTGGGAGTGTGAGTACAAATCATAGTGAGAGTGTTGACTTGTACAAATTACTCAGAGGGGGTTCCTGGTATTAAGTGATAAATACTTAACACGGAGGGGTTTGACAATTCATCAAAGATTAGGATATTAAATTCTGGGTACCATGTCCGGACTCTAACAATGAGGATGTTGAGTGCACGGATACATCGAAAGTTTGAGTGGATTTAACCAAAAAGAATTTTGATGGTCCCACCGTCAATTAGTCAGATGTTTAGTCGCATGTTCGGGTTATCCTTAAGAATATAAGATTCTCTAGGAACTTCCCGTTACATAAATCATCCACCCCCAGCTTCCTTTGTGAAACCGGGTCTAACACTGTACTTAGTTGGATGACCGAGAAGCAGTTTATACTCGTATACTCTTTAGAGTGTGAGAAGGAGAAGTTTATACTCTTATACTTGTCGGAGTCTTCATTCAACTTAATTGAGCATTATAAAACCGGCTTCAACCAAGGTTTGGATGCTATTCTTGAGAGCGAAGTAAGCCTTGGTAGGATGAAGGATCCTCCTGTGGTACGTACAGTACTTCAGATCTGTAGTGTTGTTAGCTTCCTCCTGAGTTGCGATAGGTGGCAGCTTGATCTTGTTGTTTTCAAGGAGGGACTTGAAGATGGCTGGAACGTCTTCGTCTTTGAAAGAGTACTCTTTTTAGAGTCTCGGATCCGAAGTCTTTTGTTGTCTTCGGGGTTGTTATTATGACGTCTGATTAACATCAACAACCGCTGCAGGTGCCTTGCCCTTACCACGGGAAACGA